GTTTGATGTTGACCGTGATGTTTTATGTTTGTTGCTTGCGTTCCGTTTGATTTGTTGGTTTTCTGTTTGACGCCACTCAAAAGTGGCATAATGCCGGGCCAACGCCCGGATGCACTTTGACCAACCCGGACTTGGCCAAAACCGAAGCTTGCAAGGTTGTTTCGGGAAGAAGGCGCCTGTTTTTGTTTGACCCCTGTTTTGTTTTGTCGGGCCCTGTGAAAAATGCTGGTTGCTGAAGATGGCCCAGCCATTGAATATAGTGGTCTGCGCGTTGCAAACGCGCGGGCGCGGCCGATGCCCCGCGCGCCGCGAGGCGCGCATGTGAGGGAAAATCCCTGGATCATGGGACAGCCAACAGTCGGCAGTTTAAGAGCAGAGCTGGCAGCAGGCCTGGTCGCTCAGCTGGAAAGTGCCGAGCGTAGACAGCCGAGCGATTTTTATAGCAGGGGGCCCATGGGCCTGTTTCCTGGCGTGGGCCAACGAAGCTCCAGGATTCAGGCTAGGATCAGCACTGGACGCAGCGCTGACGTACCTGCAGTCGAGTATTACCAACAATGTTGCCCTTGAGGAAATCTCATCGAACTCCCATTGGATTGGCGGTTGTTTTGGACCACTGGTTCCTGTTTGGCTCTGTTTTCCGGAACTCTTGTTCCTTTTTTCGGTGTCGATGTTTTGGGAGCTGTTGCTTTGGTTCGGTGTCGATGCGTGGGATCATGTGCTGTGCATGCTGATACTAGCACTCTCCATGTGCAAGTGTTTCATGCTGACGACAGCGCCAACCAAATGAAATCAGATCCTACGGGTGGAGCAAAATGCCCTTGACTGACCAAGCTTCTTGACCTATCCTGACACATCCCGCACCGAGGGGCTGTAGGAAGGAACCTCACAGCCCCCTGCCAAAAACAGACATGTGCATCACCAAGCATAGCGCTGCCATGCAAATTCATTGGGTTTAGGTTGGGGCCTGCCTTGAATGGAACTTGAACATCACCCTCGCAAATTCATAATGTCCCCTTGGCCTTCTCTTTGCACCAGCCCTCTGCGAGCTCCGTCCATATTCTATTTGCTACGAGGTAGGCCAGGAGCTTTGATTGGAGCAATTCAAAGACCCAAACAGCTCATGCGATCTGCCTCTTCTCGTTGAGCATGAAAGTCGAGGGCACAGCTCAAAACAACTAAAAGTGTAAACTCACAAACCTAAGGGATATGGTGCTCAGCATGTGCCAACGCATGCTTTTGGCCTGGAGATGCAAAGAGCTGCGGCATGCCAGACTCAGAAGTTTGGCCAAGCCAGCGTTCAAGTATGCAACGCCAAAATCCAAGTGCCCCATGACGTGCAACTTCCCCTCGAGTTGAAGGCCCTGGTGCCAAGCCTAGGATCGAGACGCAAGCGTGTCTCATCTTTGCTTCGCTGAAAAGATGCCAATTGCAACACCAGAAGTGCCATGTCAAATGGCTCCGAGTCTCAAATGGACCAGAATGGAAACTACTATGCCACTACCTTCAGTACAGGCACCAGTCTCAGCGCTTGCCTGGGCCCTTCGTGCTTCAGCCCTTCAGCTGCGGCGGTCCAGCGCCTGCAGTCGGCGCCGCCGGAGTTCTTCCACAGACACAGCCGGCACGGCTCGCGCCGGCTTCGGCTTCGCCTCGCGGAAGAGCCAAGCGCCCAAGGCCAAGGCAGACGTCCAAAAGATGGCCGGGAGGTTATCCCACAAAATGTCCATGTAGACATCCATGGGGGAAGGTGCCGGCTCGGCTGTGTCAAAGACCAACACTGAGAATGGCGGCATGTGCAGGCCAGTGCGTTCACCCTTCATCAGGCTGATCTGTCTTGGCCGCTGGTCTTCAAAAGGGGTGTTGAGGAGCAGGCGCCCCTCAGCATAAGCGGGCAAATCGAAAAGGCGCACAGGTTCGAGATCAACGGACTGATAGCTCGCGGAAGGGTTTCTCAGTGTCAAGATGGCCGCGCCGGTCACATCGTGCCATGCTGCCCAGCCGTAGACTTCTCCCTTTGCTGGGTCGCCCCCGAACCATTGGACGTCCTTGAGCGTGTCCACCCGGCGAGCTGCCCAGCGCGCTGACCGCGCAAGATCATCCCAATTCTCGCTGTTCAGAAGGCTTGGGGTCACGTAGAGCTCTTGCAGCATCACCCCAGAACCAAAGGCTGAGCGAACCTCATGCTTGAATGGCTGATTAGACAATCCGGTTCCAGCGCCCTCGACGGAAGTTAGATCCCAGGCGCTCTGGGCAAAAATGATGCCATGAATCATGAGCGAGTTCAGGGGGAAGAGTGGGGACTCTCGCACGATGTTCCTATACACCATTGCATCCCGATAGGTCACCCATCTCTCACGGGCTGGGCCCTCACCTTCAAAGTAGTGGTCGTGCCCTTTCCGCCATACCGTGTCAGAGTGCAGTAGCCAAAAGGGCGAGGGCCAAGTCCCAGTTGACAGGTTGATGAATATGTCGCTGCTCACTTGTCGCAGCTCAGCTATAAGCGACATCGCAGAATCGAAGTCCTCCTGCAGCGTTTCCCCCATGCCAGCTGGGTTGCCGATTCCGTCGAGCTTCAGCAACTTGCTTCCCCGCTTCAGCCAAGTCAGCACTGTCTCGCGCAAGTGCTGGTAGTACTCATGGATGCCCAGGCCCAAATATGCCGACCGTACATTGGGGTCAAAGCAAACGTAGGCATTGGGGCCAGGAATTTTCGAAAGATCCACCCCCGGTGGACTTACATTCGAACTGGTGTGCCAGCATTCCAGGTGATCTTTGCAGTCCTGGTTGCTGTGGCATTTGCCCTCGCCTTCGCTGCAAGGAGAGGCCTCAGAGCATCGCAGTCCCCAGCTAGCAGCCTTGCGCTCCTTCACTTCTTCGCGGACGGGGAGCCCGGCACGTCGAGCCGCGGCGATCCGGCGCTGCCTTGTGGGATGCTCTACGCTAAGCTTATGGGACATAGCTTTCATGGGCAGGACAAGCTTTCTGGCCTTGGGACCAGTGCTTCCAATTGTTTGGCCATTCAAAGAGCTCCATACCCCAACAAGCTGCAGAGCACAGCACAAGCAGACCACTGATGGCAACTGCTGTTCGCGTGAAAGGGTCTAGTGACATATGAAACATGCTTAACTACAGAGCTGCTTGTAACTCTCAGAAATTTCTAACGTCAAAATGGTCCAACACGTCGTGGCGCATCAATTAATTCGCGGAAACCTTCTTAGAATGGTCACCAACCCTTTGAGAATCATACGAGCTCTTTAGACGATCAAAACTAGAACCTGCACTTTAGACGATCGAAACTAAAACACGCAGCACACGTGGGGAACGGGCGCATCAACACTGTGCCTTGGTTCATGGTAGCCGCCAAATGGAGAGAACCAAACGCCCAGCGGAGTGTTGTAGCGCCGGGATGCTTCTTGCAGGCTGTCCAGCTTTGGGCCCGAGAAGCCGGCGTGCTCTTCCCAGGGCCCGCGACTGGGATCATCCCAGCCGTCATCCAACAAGAATGCGTCCAGAACCACTCCTCGCTTCCCAAGCTGTGTGGCAATGTCAGTGAGTCGAGATGCAGCGTCTTTGGCTGAAAACGTCTGGCCTGTCCCAATATCGTACCAAGTGTTGTAGTGCAGCATCCGGCGTGCAGGATGTGCGCGCTCGCGTTCCAAGTAGTGTAGGAACGAGCGGCGCATCTGGCCAGGCATGCTGACGCCCAGAACCAAGGAGCCCTGGGTTTCGCGGACATGTTCGGCTTGGCGAAGCTGCAAACAGCACCTGTACTGCTCTGCCTCAACCGCATTCTCCGCCATCGGGTGCTCCATTCCAAGAAAAAAATCCTCGGACACCACTGGGACGCCGTCCACTTTGCCGGCGGTTCGGCCACCTTTTAGCATACCACTGAGCAAGCAAAGCTTCATCAAGCGGCCGCCCCTCAGGCGCAGTGAAACCTTGATGTAGTTGGAATCATCGCGAAGCTCGGCCGCCCACGTCGCCTGCCAATTGGGAGCCGCGAGTTGCAAGGAGATACCCCAACCCTCCGCAGCCAAACTCAACTGCGACGCCTTTGGTTCCGGCTCGAGGCGGGTCACTTTCACATCCTTCACCTGGAAGTCATGGCTGGAGAGGGACTCCCCTTCCATTTCAGCGCGGAAGGCGTATGCAGGTGCTGGCAGCCGGCTTCCCGTGACCTGGTTGTGGAGCACGACTGGCTGAAGAATGCCCTGCGCAATTCTGATGTGGGCCTCCAGGACCCCATTCTTGAGAACATGCACCTCTTCGGCCTCGCCGGCCTCTTCCAGCTTGATGGCACTACCAGGCTGTGCGCGGGCTGGGAATGCAAACGCAACTCCGAGGCAAGAAAACAGAACCAGAGGAGCCAGTGCTGACCTGCCACATGGCATCACTCCACGGCTTGCCTATCTTTGTCTATTAGCCAAACCTTTGCGGCCACTGCAAGCTGGCACCGGCTTCAATCAACTGGACCATACAACGCCAAGTGCTCAAGAGCCTGCGATGCGCCGTGCAAATCCTCGCCGTCCCAGTCGCTTAGCCCTTTTCCATAGTTCGGCCTCGCTATCACGCCCCGTGAAGTACCACCTCGAAAGGCTGACAACCAGGGGCTAGAAAAAGATCCACCACATGCCCCGTCAAATGCGGCGCTGTTAATTTACATGCACTAAGAACAGCACGAAAAGAAATCTCGACCAAACCTCGCTGGCTTGGAAAGTCGAAGGAAAGCCATGCGAAGCACAACTAGGTTCTCCAATAGAGAGGTTAGAAAAAGGGTACCCTGCTTTTTCTGTTGTCTACTTTAGTAGGGGAACCCTCCCCCAACAACCAATTGTAAAACGGCACTAAGACTACTGGGGGACCTAGACAAGCACCGTACAGTCTAAGCTCATCGCTTTTGGTGAGCGGCTGTCCACTGCCCACTCCGCTCGCAGGCGCTGATCGCAGCCTTGCACAAAAGCCTGCCCATGCGAGCCCCAAATTCACAGCTCTCAGATCGGAACGTTTAACGTGTTGCTTTGCCACTCGATACGCGAGCGCCGCATATCAGAGAGAAATCCTTGGAGTGCGGCGCGTTATCTGTCAAGCTCACACAAGAAGCCGAGCACACATACGCAAACATCAAACACTGAGTCTTAGCGCCGGTCTAACTGCTAGTCTCCATTGTAAGCTTTTCTCGCAAGACATCACGCAGGCGTGGTAAGTGATAGCACAGCTTTGCACCTCAGCACGTGTAGAGGTTTGTGAAAATAGTGATCACGCTACATCTGCCGATGCAATGTGACATAGTGTGGCACAAGCAGAGCGCCTGATGTTGAGACATGTCGTCCAACAACTGCAAAGCGTGCTGCCATTGGCCTGCTTCGTCGCATGCCGCCTTGCCACATCTGCGATATGATTTTCCGGCTCGCAGCAAATTGGCTGCGGCCAAGTCTCGATGCACGCATTGTAAGTGATGTTCGAGCGTTCAACCTCGCCAAGATGATGCCAGGGTAAAGCGCACACAGACGGCAGGCAATGCCAAATTAACAGCTGATGCAAGGGCCCCCGGGTCTTGTGATTAGCCCCCCACGTCCAGCTTCTCCATTTCAGCTACCAGCTGCAATGCACGCTCCCACTCGTTCCCCTTCTCACAGGCACCTGGGAGCTCCAACTCGGACTATGTAGACATATGGAATACGTCGTGTAGCCTTTTCCTACGCACAGCTTCTTGCCGTTTGCATTGCTGTGCTCAGGTCCTGCGTCCTGCGGCCTGAGTCGCCTGAGTTCTGCACTGATGGTAGCATTGTAGGTAATCGAAGTTCTTGGAATCTCCAAGCCTGTTGAATCCAATGGGTCAGTTGACTTCCATTTGCTTAAGACTCCAGAAAAAATATATTTAAAGAATATGTTCAGTAGTGAAACAAACAACAAGGGAAAATAAACAATATTCATAAGCAAATGGAAGTTGATTGACGTCAAGCTCTGCACCAGGTCCATGGCTGAGTCAACCGTGCCTTCCATCTCGTGGAATAGGGCCACGGCGTGCTGCCATTGACCGGCTTTCTCGCAGGCACTGCCAGGCACGCGCGTGAAATGGCCGTGGTTGTCAAAACCAATGAGATCCCATTGTAGTCTATTTTAGTGGGGATTGGGATGTTCACTAAAAATACGATTCGGATTTTGACCAATGGCCAAATGCACAAGCTGCAACACACCCAGACCTGATGCAAGCGTTGTAGACGATGCACTCCTTCTCGGCATCAGTCTTGGCTGCAAACGCTCTCTGCGTGCCAGTTTCCTTGTGGCGGTGGCTGCAGGCACACTGTCACGAGTGAGGCTTGCGACTGCTCACTGCATGTCCAGAACGACGGAGGGTCAACTCTATAGGGAGACAAACAGGTGTAAAATGGCAAGTATGCGAAGTATGCGAAGTATGCGTGAGAATTACAAAGCATCATACGAGCTCTGTGGAGCAAAGTCCTGGAAGGGCTGGTGCCAGTCAGGCCTTCAAAATCTGCGTGTGCGCTACCATGAATCCAAAACAAGCTGCCCGTGCCTCACATTTCGTGCTCGTGGTCTTGAAAGGGCACGCCATGCTGTCCTCCGCAGGCAAGTAGTCGAACATAGTCGAACCTGCCTAAAATGCGGCTGGCGTTCTGAACTTTCAACCATGACTGGAAGGTTTAGGGATCGAAATTCAGGACATTGGCGTCCTCATAGCGGTGAAGAGTGCACATGGCCGAGCTGGTCCGAGGCTAGGGCAAAGGCACAAGCCCAAAGCACTTGAGATTTGCTTCAAATTGAAACTGGCATGCTTGAGCCCAAGGCTTGCGATCTGAATCACGCGCGCACAGGAACAACTGAAAAGCACGATAGCCCTTTGAATCCAATAGTTTCGCAAGAATGACAAGTGACCATGCTACAATGACCAGGCAAACTCTGATTCTGCAAGTCGGACTTTATGACAAGTCCCTCATAGCCCCAGTTTGAAGAGGTTTGGAGGTACCCCGGCGCCGTGCCGGTCATTTCCGCTCGCAGCCGCAGCCCCTGGAGGTCTTCCAGGGCAGCCGCATGCACCGCATCGAAGCCGCCAAAGATGGCGAAGGCCCCTGCGAAACCGCCGATGCCGAACCAAGATGGGACCCTAGAAAGGCCATCCTGCACTGAGGCCGACCCAGCCTGAAGTGAGCACAAACAAGCAAAACATGCGTTTGACCACGCATAAGTGGACACGCGTTGATTTTGATCTTCGCGACCCTCCCCTCTTCAACTGCTATTCAAGGCATTCTTCGTACTGGCCAAGATCGTTTCGCATGCATTTCCCTTGCCTGAAAGGGAGATCGCGCAATCCAAGGTGACAATATCCTGCAAGGAGCGAGGGGAGCAAAAAGCCACCAGCCCAAAGCCAAAGTCTTGTCCCTGCCTTCGGCACCTCTCGTCGGGACATTTGCTGCAAGACTTGGAGGCCAGCCTGGTGGGTGAGTTGCCCAGCTGCCCTGTTGGTAGAAGGCCCAATGAGCTTGGCGATAAATCTGTTGGCAATTGACTCACGCTATGGCAGATTTGTTGGAGCAGCCAGTTTGCACCACTCGTCCCCGGCCGCACAGGTGCGCCTTCCAATTCCTCCGGCAAGCTGACACGGTGGCCGAAAAGGACAGGACATCCTGTGCTATCCACCAGCTTCAAACTCCACATCTTCCACAGAGGCGCCGCAAACCAAAAAGGTTTGGTTCTACCAAGGTCGTTGGGAAGAGTGTTTTTCCTCAGGCCGTGCTACAAGCCCCTAAAAAACCACGCAGTGGAACATGGTCGCATCATCTCATCGGGGCTTTGGGCGCGGTTTTGGGCGCGCTCATTGGGCAGCCTGCTGGACGACCACCGCTGGCATATGTCCCAGGAGCTGTGACCTGGGCAGCGCGTCCCGCCGGATCCTAATCCTTTGATTCCCACAGGAAAGCCGCTAAGGTGGTATAACCCAAGGATGAAGGAGTAGCTTCCAACAGGCAGATGCTCTGGCTGGCGGACTCACAACACATATGCGGCAAATGCCAATCTCTCCCATCTCTCCAAGGTCTCTTGCTCTGGATGCTTTCTCGCGCCAGGCCAAGCCCGTGGCGCCACTGCCCACAAGGACCCCGCTGCAGCCACAGTCACAGCATGATTGTAGGTGACGTCGCCTCAAGCCACGGTGCCCGCATCCCAACTCGCATAAAGTCAACGACTTGGCAAAGGAGGCGTTTTGTCCAAGGGCATTTGCGAGACCTTCAGCAGCAAAGGCCTGAGCTGCAGGCTTCGTTCAAGGCGATGGCGCCCAAGCTCCTGCGATCTGAGACTTGCGATTTGTTTATAGCGAAACGGAAGCCCCGCTCCTGGAAGAGTTCGAGAACCTGGCCCCATTTGCCATCTTCTTCGCAAGCATTCATGGCGGACCCCATCGTAACCGTAGACGGTGCCTCAGTCGGGACTCAGGGGATCCAGGGAAGGGCATGCCAAGCCACCAAGGACATCAAACAACACCTAAACATTGCCTTGTAAATGGTGGCTTCCCTTTATTTTGGTGGAAAAAGCCATGTTTCAAATGGGCAAAACGTATCTTTTAAGGAGCCCTGGACAATTTGCGCCGAATGCCGAGCTTCCAAGGCCCGTGTTGCCATCTGCAGCAGCATGCCTGCGCTCAGGCCCCTCTGTCACAAGCCTCACTGAACACACGACAAATACTCCAGCCAGAGGTGCCAGGGCCAATCGACATGAACCCATCAAGCATGCGACGATTGCCAACATCACCATTTTCCAACGGCCTGCAGCAAGCAACCACGTCGTCACAAGCGCGTTCAAGATCAGGGTGCTGTGCCTCACACTCTGCAGAGTGCAGAGTCTCCTTAGCTTTGGCTCAGCCAGCTGTGCATGAGCGAAAGCTTCAGTAGATTGCTGTCCAGTCATTCCCGTCATTGACTCAGGAAGCAGCCCCAGGAAGCACAGGTCAAATCAACATAGCGAAGGCGCAAAAGATGCTCTGCTGCATGCCATTGACGATGCTTCGCACACGCGCTGATGGATGCACCTTAGAACATGGAAAGTGGCAAGTGGCATGGCTTGCAAAGATCCTGGCGCAGAGCTGAATCTTCAGGGCCTCAAGCTGAGCAGCGTGCCGTAGGTAACCTTGTCACTGGCCAGGCGATGAGCACCCGAAAAGCGCACCAAGCGAAGAGCTGACGTCCAGTGCGGGGCACAGGCGCTGATGGCAGCCTGGTAAATCGGTGCTTGATTCGAATCGACCATTGCAACGTACATCTACTCGTGTCCTGAACCCATACTGGCAGTGCGAGCTAGACATGATGCGAGTGCTTCCAACACGACCAAGTAGCATTCGAAGAAATAATGTTCAGCGGGATGTTCAAGCGGAATGAGCCACGGAGAAGTTCCATAGCCGGACGCCACGAGTTTGCACTTTCACAGGCGCAGATACTGGAGTTGCAGGTCACCGTGTCAACAATCAGCCCGGCCAGCCGGGCCAGCCTCAGATGGAAGCGCGTAAACGGCGCTTGTATTGGCATCCAATGGCACTCATTTCTGCACAAACCAGCTGGAACCAGCTGATTCTCAGGGCGTGTGTCATGTATAACTGACTAATACTGACCACGTCTGGCCAAGTGGCTGCACCAGGGCTAGGCCAGAAGCCCAGCGGCGCTCGCAGGCCGAGAGCAAAGAGTTGCAGGAAGTTGTGCTGAGCCTGACCTGTGAAACTATCCAAAGTCCAACAAAAGGCGATTTGAATGCAAAGGGCGCAGAAAAGCTGCAACTAACATATCCCAAGTGCGGCTTGCACGACTTTAAGCAGCACGCCTGCCAGCTACCCATTCGCGTAAGCAGCATAAGCACGCGGGCCCATTGACTGCTGCAGGCATGGATCAATGATCCACTGATGACTTCGTTCGGCAAAATAGTGCCGTCCGCCATCGCATCCAGAAGTAGAAGAGAAGTGTGCCAGTTGCGGCTCTGCTGATATGCTCCCACTTCGCAGCCATAGCTGATAGCATCTGGTTCAATGGCATATGAGAATGCTTCTTGGGCAACCCTAAGGGCATAGCGCCAGCTGATGCTGCAAGCACGGATCGCAAGGCTGTGGTTGATCTTGTCAGGAGCCAGTCTGCTGCCAGTCTTCGATGACAGCACCGCTAAGGCCGCATCCCAAGCTGTCTCTACTCGACATGCCTTTAGTGTCCGGCTCAGGGTGATCTGGCTGTTTTCTGACGCACATCTGGAGCTCGTCTGCGTGCACTTCCCAGTGGAATGCTGCGTGCGCATTCATCTGGTTTCGCTTTCAGGCAGCCCCCATGAATGCTCGAAAATATCAAGAGGCGTGTCGCGCAGCAGCGGCCATTGCAAGCCAAAGTTTACCTCTGCACAGCTATAAAATGAGATGTCCAGAGCAGCTTCCTTGACAGTTGAGATGCATTCTGTGCTGTGCATTCGATTAGCTGCGCTTTCTGTGCTAACGGTATATTTGGCGTTGCCTGGTGCTCGCGGAATGTTTGCATTGCTGAGTGCGCCTGGAATCTAAGCAGGGTTGAGCTCAAAAGGCGCCCATGCTCATGGTGTCCTGCTGCGTGGTGGACCGGCCTACGAGCGATTTGTGCCACTCAAGTCGAAGTTGTGCTGACTGGAGCACTGTGGAGACCTTTAACTAGTCATGCGAACCAGAAGCACATGGAAGGTGCCCAAGCCATCCGTGATCCATGCGGCCTTTTTCGGAAGCCTCGACTCACTCACAAGGGGTGTGCCTGGCGAAGACCAAGACAAAGGTGCCTCAGCTTGCGAAGCCGCAAAAGCCGCAAAAGTGACCAGAGCAGTTTGCACCAAAAGGGCCCCTGAAGCTTCCAATCCAATGCATCGTAGCCACCAACAGTGGCATCCAATTGCGCAATGTCCTGCAGGGCAACTCCTCTCTGATCACCTCTCAGCTCACTGCATTGCATTCCAAATCTGTTGCTCAAAATCTATTGTTCAAGTAATTAATGCATCACCCAATCCACGTGAGTTCTTGAGCTCTCCAACCCCTTCCGCAAGTGGGTCAGCCACCTGAGAGCCGACCCTCCGAGTCCTCCGCGCTGGCGGCAGACTTCCCGTTGATGGAGATGAGGCGGTCGAAGTTCTGCACGATGCAGTCCTCTGAGCAGATCTGGTTCCAGTCCTTGGGACACAAAAAGAAACCCAGAGACCAAGGAGACCAAGGAGGTCGGATTGGTCGGTTTAGGTCTTCTTAGGTCTTCTCATTTCAAGCACAATTTGGGGGGGGAGTAGTCTCCCCCAAAAGGTTGTAGACAAGTGTGGTAATCATGGTATTTCGTATCGTTGTGGGCGGCCCTTCTGTTTTTGTTTGGGGTCCGCCATTTGGGGGTCTTAAAGATTTTGGGGGCCGGGGTTGAGAAACTCCCACTTGGGGTCATTCTTCTTGCGCAGCCCGCCGAATCTTTCGAGCGGCGCTGACCAAAGATCCGGGCCAAACCCGAAGCACACGACACATCCTGGCCGAGCACCACAACTCCAGGCCCAAAGATTGCCGCCCGGTCCGCGTGATGGTGATCATGTATGGGTCCGCATCCTGCAATGTTCCCTCAAACCTCAGGAGCCTTCGGCATGCCCAAGAACTTCTGCCTTTTCAGCATGCGTGTAGCAAGAACACTGCGTTGCAAGGAAGGCCAGGTGCCAAGAGTGCTGCTGGGCACTGGCATTTCACCATGTCACACCTACCCCCAAAGCCACGGAAGTTGCATGTCTGACAACTACCAAATTGATACTGAGGTTGGCAATCTTGAACAAATGCCTCCGTCTGGTAAACCTGGCAGGTCCCAGGTTAACTTGCACATAGGGCCCTTGGCACTCGGCTCGACCGTGTGTGAAACATGCGTCAACGCGCATGCGTCCTTCCCCAGGAGTGTGCCAGAACCGCCTTGTTCAACCGGAGCGTCGTTGAACTTGGCCACTCGGTCCTTCACGGACCTCAGCTTGATGCGCGAGGCATGGCATGCTGCATTTCCGCAGGCCCGATCGGCCCGACAGCTGCAGCTCAGGCACAGGACGCGCTGCCCGTAGTGCAAATGCATTTGTACAGCAGGTGGTGAGTTCAAAACCCCACCACAGAGAGCAATCAACCCAGTGCCCGCATGGTCCTTGCTGGAGATGCGACTGAAACACGTTGCACACGCCATCTTTCCCTCAACCTCCACCAGAGAGCCAATGATTTGCACGTCTTTTTCGTGGAAGAGCACAGCGTAGCTCCCCAAACTTCCAGTCCAGCTTTGGCATTGCCGACAGTGACACAGGAATACGGAGTGCTCAGGCTCGGATACCACAATCTGAACAGACGTGCACAAGCACTGGCCGGTGAAAACCCGCTCGGCTGTGGCTTGCACCGAAAGCTCGGAGGCGATCAAGCCAGATCCGCCCAGTGCTTTGGGGAGGTCAGCAAATTTGGGCACCTGATCTCTAAACTGCAGCATCGGCTTGAGGCAGAAGAAATGTGCATCTAGCACGGGCGTCAACGTCGGAATGCGTGTCTCCATCAAGTCAGCCGGTACGAGCTCAGTCAGCAAAGGCGTGAAGCACTTCGGGCAGCATTTGCGAATCCTGCAGGGTGCACCTGGCTTTCTCAGCCGGGAAATGAAATATGGAGTGTTCAATGCTTAACTTTCGGACCTGCGCCTTGAAGGCTTAAAAGGGACTGTTTTTGCATGTTTTTGCCCTGCAATAATTCCTGGAGGATCCCTTGGAGAATTCCACCAAGTCCGCGCTGACCCGTACCTGAGCGCGGGGATACCAGGCTGCCAGCTGGCCAACGCTGCCGGTCCATCTGCGACAATCTTCGCAGTGGCAGAGGACCGTCTTCGCAGGGAGCCCCTTCAAGGCAACTCGCGTGGAGCCGCAGGAGCAGGAAACGAATCCGCCGGACGCTGAGGCTGGGATCTCCCCCAACTCAGTCACGGCCTGCGGCAGTTCCTCGTGCTCGCGGCTGCTACTCCTCACCACGCATCCGCAGAACATCATGCACGCAGCGCCTTAAGCCCATTTTGGGCAAGGCAAGGACTTGATCCGCAAGGTGCGGCCTGGCTGCCTGAAGGCCTTTAAGGCAGTGAATCCCTGAATGCAAGCACACAGCTGACCACTTTTGTCGGGATGACAACCGTGAGCGCACCGTGAAAGCTTTGGCAAAAGCTTAAAGCCTTTGGTCAGTCCAAGTATTCAAGGCTTCCAGCGGCTACGAACCATGGTCACAATGTTTTCGAAAACATGAAGACATCACCAAGGGATGATCTTGCAATGCGAAGCTCATTGTCCAGGTAGGTCGTGAGAAGCCTGCAGGCATGCGTCATCACATGTTATCACTCCCGCCGCTGCGACGGCAAGGCAGCGCATGGCGTGACATGTTCGGGATCGGCTGCTTCCCCGAAGCGCAGGTCTTGACTGCAAGCTTTTGCATGAGCACTTTTGGCCCCAATAAATTCTGATGGACGTTTCGTCGGCGTGCTTCGTTGTGGGCCCTCTGGGGCGCAGACTTGATGCTCCCAAGGCTGGACGACAGCCCCACCGATGGCAGCAGCAATGGCAGAGATGGCAGTTCGAAGCCTGCCCCGATCATCCACAAGGCATGCCAACATCCGCCAGTCAAGGATCCCCAATGAGGCCCCAAAGCTACGCGCCTTCAGCCAGCGGCTCCAGCTTCGCATCCTCAAACTGGATTCCGAAGCTGCCATCCGCGAAGACGTTGCCACTGGCTTGCACCTGTCTCATGAACTTCGACAAACGAAAACGACTGCGACGCGAAGCGCGGCAAAGGGGCCTTGGCGACCACAGTGACGGCCCTGGCCACCTGCGGAAGAGCTGCTCCCAATAGGCCAGCACCTCAGCTCCGCGGCTCACTGCCCTCCCCGAAGCGGAGATCCCGCGCCCCCCGTGCCTTTTGGGGACAACTCCACGGAGTTCACCGCCTTGATCTGCACGCCCTCCAGGTCTCTGGCCTCTGCAGTAACCAGAAAAACACGTCAATGAAAAATGACATGCATCTAATTGCATTAATCAAGACCAAAAAAGAAAGAAGGAGTATGCGTCTTGCATCTGCGCCGCCCGTGCCAGACTGATGTCCTGGCGGATCTCCCCGCACTCGGCCAGTGGCAGTGACCTGCAGCTGCTCAGCGAAAGTTGGCGCCAGCGGGAACAAAAACCAAGGCCGGGGCGAGAGCAGTAGCACATCCGGAGAAGTGGCCCAAACCAGTCGCCACTTGCCGGCAAGCTTGGCTGACACAGCTTCTGCACATTCAACCGGAGTGCCTGTGAAACGCACCATCTCACGCACCATCTGCCAACGGGACTCGCTGGCCTGCATTGACGTCTGGATTCAGTGCTTCCAGTTCTTCAATGCATTCCAAGATGTTGGCCCTCTGATCCGCGGGCAGAGGCGAAAATCCACGATTGCACCTTGATGCTCTGAGCAAATCGCTGGATGAATCAAAGCGCTGTCGATTACAAAGAGCAAATAAGGCGCCATCCCTGCAGACAGGCGCAGGAAGCGATCTTTCCTCAGGAAACGAGTGGGTGCACCACACAGAACCGGCCTGGTTGTTTGCAGGCAAAGGGCAGGCTGGACAGATTCCTTTTCTGGCCCTCCTGACCTGCTCGTGCAGACAGAAGCGCCATGCCAAGTGCCAGCTGAGACTGCATCCTGCCTGCTGGCTCTTGATCCGCAAACGCAGCGATGTTGGCACAAAGTCTCGCAAGACGAGTATCGCTGCTGTCCTGCGAGCGCTGCGAGTGCTCTGCTAGGCGCCTTGCCGGTCAGCGCTCCAGCGGGGCCGTGTGCCCACCGGGAAATCGTAGCAGTTGAACCTCAACGGGAAATCGTTCTGCGGAGACAATCGGCGTGCAGCGAGTTGACCGCGCGAGTTGGACGCTGGAACCTCTGGAACCTCTCCTGCTGCCCGGCTTCTTGAAGGATGTCCTTTAGCCTCTCGCTCTCGTCCGTGAAGTCATTGGCAAAGCGGACCACCAGCCTAGCGCGAGAATGCCAATAAACCCAAAACAAATTCGCATTGGCGTTTATTCCCCTTAAACTTGATTGTCTTGGCTTGCTGTTGGCAACTGCTCTGCTAGGAAGCGTTCCGCTTCTTGTATGCAGCAACACCTGTTCAAAAAACTGTCTGCTTCTACTGCAATCGTGCCCTCGGCTTTAACATGCACACGAACTGAAACAGTTCAATCAATCCACAAAGCTTCCGCAAACTCAAGCACACACACACACACACACATGCAGCAGCAGGAAAAATGCAACAACTACTTAGGCGCCAGACGTCCGCGTGGAGATGGAAGACACCCGCTCAGACACTTCCTGAACCAACCCAGAGAAGCCCAGAAGTTCTCTAAGCTCAACTGTCTTTTCTTGGAGCAGGACGGAGCGGGACAAAGAAAAGTCTCGGTCGCCTTCGACAACACCCCCGAGCAGTGGACCAAACTGCGACCTGCGTCAACCCCTAGTGTCAATGGCTGACCGCGCTTCGCTGCTACGGCCGCGGCACAACGGGAGCAGCTTTGCGTGCCAGATCTGTGTCTCCTGGAGAGACTTTAACACACACACACACACACATGCACAGTAAGACGATAAGCTCCAAGCGCCTTCGACACCAGCAACCTGCAGCAACGCCCTTGCTGCATTCAGCGTCTCCTGGGTAAGTCAAAGGGACGGAAACACGGCAGCATGCCAATAAAAGCGGGCAGGACTGACAGCATCAACAATCTCTCCTCCACATTTCCGTTGGCAAGAGCCGCCTGCCATCCATGCCGTGCACATTGCAACTCACAATTATCAGCCTCGAGGTTGCGGCTCACCAGCCCTCGAAGACGGGAGTCTTCAAGACGTGGTGGCAAAGGCACTGGGATTGCGTCGCTCACCGGCCTCCAGACGATCAAATCGCTCTCAATACTGCGGCGACACTTTGGACAAGCAGCTTGTTGTTGAACGACATGAGCACACAAGCCTGGCCCTGAGCGCGCAGACCACCATGCCCAACGGACATTAATTTAACAGCATCTGGCTTTGCCAAATACCCGGTTTGTCGTACAACCGTGCCTCATATGATCCCTCAGCAGCAAGCAGTGAATGAAGCAACGCGCCGCATGAGTGGCCGACCTGAGGCAACTCTCTTCAGCAATGTTCGATCGAGCTTGCTTCTTGAATCAGCTAGGCAGCCTTCTGAGCACGCCCGCTTGAACTCGGGCCCTGACTGCAACAAGTGGAAGGTCGACAGAATCCGGGAGGTCTGCGGCTAAACTCCTGATGCAACTTTTCCACAAAAAACAAACTTATGCCACGAAATGCCACGAAGTGTCCTTGAAACGGACTCGAGCGACGCAGCTGAAAGTGCTGCCATCGAATCGTAATCGAAGGACAAAGTGTAGGGAGTGGCGATGACAATGGCCTCAGTGTTGAGACACCTCCATTAAAGACTGCCACCCTCTTTAAGCCGAGAGAACCAGCTCAAACACTCATTCAACCAGTGCCTCGCACTCATCCCCCATGGTCTCCAGGAAGGTCTCGTAAAATAGCCTGACAACAGAAACTGACCTCCTCACAACTCAGACAAGCCATGGCCTGGGCGAAGCTCCGACAAATGCGCCACCCAGAAAATGGATTCTCCTCGCGAGTGTGACGTGCACCGCACAGGAAAGGAAAGTACCAAAGACCATCTCTGCAGGCCACAGGTCATAACCTATTCGGCCAAAAAATGCGGATTCTTTTCAAGGCTGCCAACACGTTTGCGAAGATCGGGGTTCCTCTCGGGAAACAGAAGGACTCGGAAGGCTGCCCTGCACCCCTTCCCCCCCATTGCTTCACCTAGACTTTGAGGACCTGACCTCCGCGGACGCCGTGATGGCACATAGACTTCACTTCCAGCTACTTGCCTCCATCCGGAAGAAAGCCCTTCACCTGGCATGGTCACATAGCATCGGACAAATTGACGTCTACCTCTACCCCTACCACCAACGCAACAACAGCCACCAGAACCAGCACCAGCACCGCCACTCCCAAAGCCACCGCCACGACCACCACCACCAGAACCACAAGACAAACAAGAAAAACCGGGTGTGCAGGCCTGCCATTCAAGATGCAATGTATGATTTGGCATTGTGCGCAGTGCTAACGGGCACTTGAGCGCCCGCGCTTGCCATTTGGCAAGCCTGCGCGCAGTGACCATTTGTTTGCACGAGTGCACTTGGCGGGTTCGCTTACCCCTGAACATGAGAGTGCGTTGCGCTGAGCTGAGCCATGCGGGGCGAACGGGGGCGCATATCATTTGGCAGGCGCGGACAGGCCTAAGCACCTATCATTTGACAGGCGTGAGTGAACCGCTGAGCGGGAGCGCGTGCTGGGCAGGTGTGCTTATCAGTCCGCAGGCGTCATACAGTGTTTCACGGGCGCAAGTGAACCGGTGCGCTTATACTTTGGCAGGCAACGATACAGGAACGAGCGCGAGTTTGAACGGGGTTGCCTACCATTTGGCATCGCTTGAGGTGCGCTTACCATTGCGCAGCTGAAGTGAAGGATAAAAAACTTATTAAGGGTCCAAAACAATTATTCTCTTAGATTTCCTATTAAAATGAAATCCAGAGGATCAAAAAAAACTTGTCTGGAATCAAAAGGCACAGGCTTTGTGGCAGGCGCAGCACTTTCGCAAGGTCAGGTGGCAGTCGCAAAGTACGGCACAGACTTCGCAAGGTCAGGTACAGAGTTCGTTGCAGGTGCAGCACTTTCGCAAGGTCAGGTACATATTTTCCGGCAGGTGCAGCACTTTCGCAAAGTACGGTACAGACTTCGCGGCAGGCGCAGCGCTTTCGCAAGTTACGGTCAGTTTTTCCGGCAGGCGCAACACTTTCGCAGAGTTTGTGGCAGGCGCAGCACTTTCGCAAGCGATGAAGAGAAAGATGCATAGAAATAAACATGCAGAAAAAATGGGAAAAAGAGAGAGAGAGAGAGAGAGAAAGAGAGAGAGAAAGAAAGAAAGAAAGAAAGAAAGAAAGAAAGAAAGAAAGAAAGAAACAAAGAAAGAAAGAAAGAAAGAAAGAAATAAAGAAATAAAGAAAGAAAGAAAGAAAGAAAGAAATAAAGAAAGAATGAAGCAAGAATGAAAGAAAGAAAGAAAGAAAGAAAGAATCAACGAAAGAAAGAAAGAAAGAAAGCAGGAAAGAAAGAACAAATAAACGTCGAGGATGTCATGATTCAACCTTCTAAAAACCAGCGTGGGGGTTGCGGGGGGTGATGATTCAGCAAAGGGTGCGTTAATCTCTGTAAACAAAATCAAGCGGGGGGTTGGGGGGCGGCAGCCCCTTCCCATGATGTTCGAAGAAGTGATGATTCAGCAAATGGCGCGTTAATTTCTGCAAGCATTCAAAAACCCGGGGGGGGGGGGGTGAGGCCCACTGCCGGGGTACCTATCCCAGAAGGGAACTGGTACCTTTGTGGTAGTAGAGGTCGTTGATTTGGTCCCTGGATCTATTTTAGAGAGAATCCAATATGCCAATTTGTCCCTGGTGGATTGTCTTGTGGATAATCCTGTAAGCGGCCTGCAAAGGTTCCTTTGTCATGCAATCATGGGTATTGCTATGATACACAAAAGGGCCTTGAGCCAAATGGTTGCGGGAGATCAATTGTGTAACAAACCAAACACAAAACAGACACAAATTTCTTTTGATCTCCAGCACTAGATATGAAATACTATTGGCTTCATGGCCTTTGGCCGTAGCCTTGCTGTATGCCGTAGCCATGTGTATTAAAAAGCCGGATTCATCCTCTTTTCTGCTCGGATGAAATGTCTTGGCTTGCGAAATGGGAAAACACTATGTACTGCTTCTGTGAGATACCTAGATGTATCAAATGGTGATGTACAACACTATGTACACGCGGGACGAATGTGAAACTATTGATCTCTCACTGTATAGTCTTGTAGGCGGTGAGGATCAATCATCTGATTTGAGTTCGTGGTGCTGAACGTATGAATCTTCCTGGTCAGTCAGATCGATGATACCATCGACGGCTGCTGTCGGATTGACTGCCATAGTCTCCATAATCATTCCAGGTCGAGGCGCCATAGTCCTTCCACTGCTTCTGATGTCCCCACTGCTTGTTGTAGTCCTTGTACTCCTGCGGGGTCCAGGCTTGTTTCTTCTTGAGGTACTCCTCAGATCTCTCAAAGTTGCGTTGCCTGGTTGCAGACTTGCTGCGGATGTAAACCATAAGGGGACTGTGTGCGAGTCGGAGTCCCGGCTGCATCAACGATCCCAGGATATCGGCATATGCTCGGATGATTTCCGGGTCATCATGTGACCTAAGCTTCTTCAATCCAAGTGGAAGCTTAATCGGATAGCCGGATCCTGGTTGTGCCTGCCTGTACTCGTCCATGGTGGGACATTCTCCTCGATGAGGGAAGTAGAATTTCTTCTTCTCCGAGATTGACATCGGGATCGACATGTGCCAATGAGGCTCTCTCGCACTCTGTCAATTTGGGATGAGCTCTTCTTGGATCTTTGTTGTACTTGTTCATGAAGCGGAGGAGGTTCCCCTTGGTCTCCGCGAGCTCTTCCTCGGCGTCCTTTTTGTTCAAATCTGTTTCGAGATAGATTCCCTTGAGTTCCTGGATGAACTCGAAAAGGTTCTCTGAATTGTGATATTCCACGGTGACCTTTGGTTTGACGGATCTTTCCCCGGAGGGTTCCATGGTCTCCTCTTCATCTTCGTCCTGATCGGTGGAGTGCCGTCGCTTCTTGGTCTCTGAGGAAGTATCTTTTTCCTTGCTGTGTTTGGTGGAATGCACATAATTGAAGAAGGCATCGGCGAATTCACGGATCTTGGTGTCGTACATCTCGTAATCTTCATAACTGAGATGCTTCTTCATGATCCACTTGTTGCTCGCCATGATGCTGCCATCAGGTTCAAATGCTGCAACAATGTTCCTTGCCTCGATGGTTTGATCTGTCAACGCTGTTCGCTCTTCGGAGAGTCGGATGCCATAGTCTTGGTCCTTGAGGAATGCAAGGATCAACAGTGCATCTCTTCCTGCCGGCACATGGGTTAGCGCTGCTTCTGACTCATCGTCGTCAAGGATGACGTCATCGATGCATGCCATGTGGACGTGCATTCTCCCCGAAGGGTTTGACTGGGATTTCCCAGATTTGAGCCCGTTCTCCATGATGCTGAGGAGCTGATTTCCATAGGTTGCATGGAACATGAACGTGATGGGCTTCTTCGCGAACGGCTTGATTTTTCTCTCTTCTTCAATGGATGGTGGTGCCGGCCTTTGCATTCTGTACTTGGGCTGAGCTGTGCCTTCATCTTCATGAGGCGCCTCGGATCTTGACGGATGCGGACTTGGTGGAGTGGATTCCGTTGGGAGATCATAGTCCGGTTCGTCGTGTTGAGGCTCTCTCTGCTGCTCAGAGTACAGGGGTCGTCCAAAGGATTGGATCTCGACTTGTCGTGTATGTCCGCTGTTGCATCTCACAGAGAAACTCCATCTCGGGATCGTTATAGAATTCCTTGCCATCGGGCCGGAGTGCATTTTGTGCGGATCTTGTGGTGAGCTTATCGATCCATCGATTCCTTGGAACAATTTCTCCCCGTGCCTTGCGCTCATTATATGACCCGTCCACGGATGGAAACACGAACGCGATTTCGAAACGTGATTTTCCATAGCTCGGGAACATAGCCATCAAGAGAAGTCCTGGCTTATTTCCAATGAAGTTCCTGGCATGTGTGATGCAGGTCAATGCGTCATAGAGCTCAACGGATCCATCAGGACCCATGTCCACTTGTCGTTTGCATTCCTTATGGATGCCATGCCTTGGATCATGTCGAAGACATCCGGAAAACGATCTGCTCATTCTCTCGATTCGCCAGAGGATGAGGTCCGTGATCTGTTTCGCCTTGGATGGATCCATGTGGAAGTCTTTGCAAGCCGTTGTGGCATACCATCGGGATGATGTCGGTTCCGTAAACTTCGGATTGAGCATTGGTATAGCAGCAGATGCTGTAGACCTTCTTGATGAAGTCCATGTATTGCTTCTCTGTATGAGGTCCTTCACCTTGAAGTGTTCGCTGCCAGTAATCGTTGAATCTGGCCTTCAACCAAAACACTTTGACTCCATGTGGTCGTTCATGCTCAGGGATGAAGTGGAAATCCGGATTGACCTCGAGGATGGTTGGGCACTCCTTGTAGTATTCGTACACGAAATTCAGGAATTCCGAAAGGTCCTGGGTGTACGGATTCCTTCTGGAGGCTGATGTCGGTATCCGATCCATATGTTACAAACCACCGGTCCTTGGATGTGAGAACTGGCCGCATCGCTGGTCGCCTTGGAAGTGCAGGTCGATCACCAGGATGATTGTCGGATTCCGTCTCTTCATCCAGGATGTTCTTTGGTGCTGGCTTGACCTTTGAGACAAGCCTCAATGCTGGTGGCGGTGACTTTGGAACAGGTTTCGGATGTGGCATCGCCTTCGACGTAGGCCTTCCTGCGGGAGGATGCCCTTCTTCATCTGAGTCATCGTCGTCGGAATCTGGATCATAATCAACCTGCTCCATGTTGACATTCTCGGGTTGTTGAGAGGCGGATGGTTTCTCATCTGCGACTTGCTCCATGGGGCAGTCGGACGTCTCATCTTCCTCATCACGAGCAGGGGATTCCTTCAACGGAGATGCCCGTCTCTTCACCAGCGGCTTCGGCAAAGGAGTCGCTGTGCTGGATCGTCCGAAGATCAAGTTGAGAATGGGCATGTCTTCGAAATGATCGAGCATACAAGATTGCAAAGGTCGGATTGGTTGTAAACCGAAAGTGGCTGCGGATGCAGACACATATTTCTTGAGATTCAAAATGGGTCAAGTGCTAAAACACGCATCACGGACTTGAGGAATTGAAAATGTGCAGAACGGAAAAAT